CATACTAAGTAAAAGCTAAAGTAGAAAATTCAAAACGGTTGAATAAAGTACTACCATAACTCTTTAAGGTTAAAAAAAAAAAAAAAAAAAACAATCATAGTAAAAGCATAAACTATCTTTTGTGAAACAAAGAATAACAAATAATTCTTTTTAAGTAGATTTTTTTTCCGTACTTTATTAAAATAAAATGCTGTAGTGAAGGCGACAGCTGTAATGAAAACATAAACTATCCTTTGCGAAGCAAAGAATAAAGAATAATTCTATCTCAAGTAGATAAATGTTATTGAACTTGTAAGTATATATTTAACTGCGCCATATACATATCAGAAAATCTTGTAATCATCATTTCACGTGATCTGCGAAATTTTTTTGACTGGCATTTTAAATATAATATAATATTAATTTTGGCTGCGGAACACTAATGCGTAACACCTGATCTTGAAGTCTGATTGGCCAGCGAAATCTTTTAGGTAGCACAGTTTGAGTAGATAAAATTTTAAACAGATTAGATTTCAATTTTTTGACTGTTATCTAACCAATTCATAATGTTTACAGGAATAGTTGAACATATGGGTGTGGTTGTAGAAATCCAACAATTGGATCATTCAGCTACTGGTGGTGATGGCTGGTCAATGAAGATTGGGGACGCTGAGCCCATACTTGTTGATTGTAGGCTTGGTGACAGCATTAGCGTTAATGGTTCGAGCTTTTTTCATCAATATGATCAAGAAAAAAAATAAAATAAAATAGGATTTTATCTGAATCCGAAATCTTTATCCATTAGGTACTTGTTTGACGGTAACTGACTTTGACACTGAATGGTTCAAAGTTGGTCTTGCGCCTGAAACACTTCGAAGAACCAATCTTGGTAGGCTTTGATCTGCGGTTTATATAGTTTATTATTGATCTAATCAAACTGCTTAACATTTCATAAAAGGTGATTTGAAAAATGGAAATAAAGTGAATTTAGAAAGATCACTTGCAGCTAATATTAGATTTGGTGGACATTTTGTACAAGTAAAGAAACTGTCAAGAATTGCCGGGCAAATAATATGACCATGGTTTAATCCTGTGTAATGACAAAATTATATTGATTTGTAGAGCATGGTCATGAATTTCCCGATTTCGTCTGATATTGGATCATGTGCTGGATATTATCATATCGTGCCAGTAGCGCGATGTACTGATATTGCACTGCATGACCAAAGTCCTACATTCTATCTGTTTCTTAATTATTTCAAAATCGTATTACTACAGGGTCACGTTGATACAACAGGAGAAATAATTTCGATCACACCAGAAGTCAATTCTCTTTGGTTCAAAATTTCACCTGCGGACTCTAAATACCTTCGTTACATAATTCCCAAGGGTTACATTTGCCTAGATGGTACCTCGTTAACTGTTTGCGAGGTAAATGATGCCGAAAATTGGTTTAATATTATGTTAGTTGCATATACTCAAAGTCATATTACGATGCCTTTGAAAAAAGTTGGTGATAAAGTTAATATTGAAGTTGATATGTTGGGTAAATATGTAGAAAAAATTGTTGAGTCTATGCTCTCGAGTGAAACTAATGGAGTTGGCGGTTATTTGGATAAATTGGTTACCAATCATTTGGAAAAAACAACTTCCAAGAAAAATTTTGAAAGCAACACTGTTAAGAAGTATGAATCTTAATATAACGTATGGTTATTTAATCTATCGAAAAAAGCTTATTTTTTGTCCGCAGATATAACACCCTTTTTGTATATATAATTCTATCGAAAATTTTGTCTTTTTATTACAAATTACATCTTAATAAATTTTGAATCAATTGTTTTATCATTTAAACAACGTAAATCTGCCAATATATTAAAGACACCTTTTTTAAAAAAATAATCAAATATCTAAAAAAATAATAAATAGAGACAAATACCAATACTTTGACTTAAATTTCATTCTTAGAATAATTGCTACATTTAGTAATATGCTAATTTAAACCACACGCTTTACTTCAAAGAACCTCTTCAAATAAAATACTTGCCAAAAACATACCCCGAAAAGAACAATAAATTGGAAAATTGACCACCATTTAACGCGATCATTCGTACTTTCAGCAGCTACGAGTGATTTAGTGGAAAATAAAGTCAATGTTTAATTATATCAATTCAGCTTTTTAAATAGTATTGACCACCAATTTGAGCACTTACTATCTCTATGTACACGTTCTCGCATCACAATATATTCTTGTTCATCTTTAATAGCAGCAAGGCCCTCAGCAAGTTCACGAATTTCTTTTTCTAAAGGATCTGTATGTGCTATATATAATTATATATAATATTTGATTAGCAGCAGTTATGATGATGCAACTTGCTCAAAGAAATATTTTTAAAAGAAATGACTTGAATTTTAAACTTACATCCATCATCTGGGACAGAAACAATCCCATGAGCATTAAAACTAACAATTTTTTCGGAAACAGTTGACATTTCATTACTGAAACAATAAGTATATCGACCAGATAATTCAGCAGTAAAGCCATGTGTTCCAGTGCTTTGTCTTTCAGATGAATCTAACACATGGTCATTCGGATCAAATATCTGAAGAATTACAATACATTATAAATTCATTCATGATCAATGAACACTTGAATAATTTTATTTAAAATAAAAATTGTCACTAATTCCTATTCCATGCCTACAAATTTAACATCTCTTGACTAATTATTTTTCTTAATTCTAACTTACGCACCATCCACCGAAACAGTTAAACATTTACCATAAAGTCAACATCCAAGTGTCCACCATCACCAACTTGATAAGTAACGGTCATTCTATCTCCCTGTCGTAAATCCTCAAAAAAGCATTCTCTTGTGCTTGGTTGAAGTGTTATCGTATATGCTGTTGAAAGACATGCTACAGATAGCAAAACTGTAATGATTACTAGTAGAGTACGCATCTTTCAGATCTTAAACGCGAATAAAAATGTTAAGGTTGTTAGCCTTTTATAGTTTTTTATAGTTTTTAACACAAGTACACAAATCACGTGATAGAATGTTACACGATCTTGGTCACACAAATCATCAAAAATTTTCTTAAAGGCACTTGAGTGGGATTTGATGGATCCTCCTCTCGTTTTTATAGATCCCTTTCAAAAATTACTGTGCTTTTACCAATATGAGCACTTTTGAAAAGGTATTAATTATATTAAAATAAGAAAGGCTCGCTGTTATAATTTTAGGAGGAAATTTTAGCTTTCAATAATTTAACAAATAATATTGAAAACGCATTGATTTTTTAGGTGATTGTTGTTGACGCCAAGGGTCACCTTCTTGGGCGTTTGGCATCCATTGTGGCGAAACAGATTTTAAATGGCCAAAAGATAGTCATTGTACGTGCCGAGGAAATGAACGTGTCCGGGTCCTTTTTTAGAAATAAGAGTATATTTCAATTCTTTTGATCAAATTTAAATTTTTGATTAAGCTATTATTGATTTACAATTTTCTATTTTAATTATCATAATTATTTTTACAATATATTAATTGTTTTAAAAATAATTATTTTTTGTATGGTGACAACTCAATTGTATAACGTTTAGTCAAATACCATTCATACTTACGCAAACGTATGATTGTCAATCCTGCACGTGGTCCCTTCCACTTCCGCGCACCTTCCAAGATCATATTCAAAGCCATTCGTGGTATGGTTCCGCATAAGACTTCACGTGGTGCAGCTGCTCTAGGTCGCCTCAAGATTTTCGAAGGAATACCACCTCCATACGACAAACAAAAACGTATGGTTATCCCTGCTGCATTAAAAGTTTTACGCCTTAAGCCTGGTCGCAAATATACCACAATTTCTCGTCTTTCCTCCGAAGTTGGTTGGAAATATGGAGATATTGTTAAGAAACTTGAAGAGAAACGTAAAGTCAAGAGTAAGGAATTCTATGAGCGTAAGAAAAAACAAGCAAGATTACAGGCCCAAGCTTTGAAGAATAAGGCTACTGAGTTGAAAGATATTCAACAAACGATTTCGACTTTTGGTTATTAAGCATTTAATCTTGTAGAGTGGCAGAAAATTATGCATATTTTGAAAATTATTTGCAAATAAAAGAAAAAAACTTGGATGTCCATTGATAGGTTTCGAGTTAACTGTAATTAGCAGCTTGCTTTTTGAATATTATTGTTCCAACATTCGATCTAGTATTTAATGTTGCAAAATGCAAACCTGTAATTCTGATTTTCGAAATTTCACTTTACAGAAACGAGCTTATCAGAATCAGATAAGCTCATCTCTGTAAATGAAATTTTAGAAAATCAACAATTACAGGTTTTCGCATTAATTTATTATTTGTAGCGTGCCAACAGTTAGTACGTACCGGTAATATAATAAGAAAAATTGGTAACTCGTGAGATTAATTATTTTAGAAAAAATAATTTTATGGGTGTTTATTTTGGGTGTATGGTCACGTGATGGGCATCGGCCAATCAAATTGTTCTTAATTTATTGTATAATCAAAACTGATCATTAATTAATTCAAAAACATTTATATATATTGGTTTTATTATATTTTTATAAAAACAGACACAAATTAATTTTTTTTAACAATTATTTGTACTAAACTTCTGTTGCAAATAATTGATTTTTATTTAATTTTTATTAAGTAAACTATTTCTAGCTGTTTAAGTAAATTTGTTTTTAATATAATTTTATACTTAAGTGGTTAAGTTTTATATTTCTAAATTTTTATTCATAGAAATATATTTATTAAATATAAAAACATTTTTATTTAAGTTATTTTTTAGATAAATTATTTTAATAATTTAGAATTAACAAAAAAAACTTATTATTAATTATATAATTTATTAAAAACAATTTAAAATCATCTTATACATTAACATACCTATACATTCTAATTAAAACTCTTTTACATACACATCCTGATTATAACAATTTCAAAAAACAATTATGTAACAAACATATTTTATATTTTGAACAATTTACATTATTTAATAATTTCATACTTCTGGATTAGACACACATCTTACCCAAACTTGAACAAATTCCTACTAAACAAAAACCTAAATGGTTTACTATATTAGAATCAAAATTATTATAGACAATCATACTAGATAAATAAACTTATCATTAAACCTTTTTATCTTTAACTTCTTGTAATTCACAATAGATCATTATAGTTTTAAATTTAAATTATGATTAATTATTTTTGATTATAATTACCAAAAAATAATTATTGGAAAAGCATGCAAATACAATATTAATGACAATACTATTTCAATTACATATTGACTAACCAAACATAATCTCTTCTATATTAGTCTTTATCTATTTTTAATCATCAATTATACACAATACATAAAATATATACATAATTTAAATAGAATTCAAAATTACTATATTTTTAATATTTTAGCTAATTCTGTAACAAAATTCTTAGAACAGAAAAAATATAACAATACAAAAGAACTTAACTTAAATGCAAGTTATTTAGATTTTATTTATTTTATTGCTTTATAGTCACTCTTATCAATCTTACTATCACCTACTATTACACTTATTAATATACCTATATTTAACCTATTTTAAGTCAATTCTTCTTTTATTAAACTTCAGAAAATTGCTAATCTTAATAAGAGATACACTAATTTTATATTCTATACAGATGAATTAGTCACTAATCTTACTACTAGTAGATGTTCTATGAACATCAGATGGGTACAAATCCATAATAATACAATACTTTAATCATACTCTTTCTGTATTAAACTCTGACCATCTTCTACAAAGCAGAACTTATAACAATACTATCTGTTATTTGTACATGCTAATGTAACAGTAATATACAAATTTACACAAATTTCTAATCAATTATTATAAAATTCAGCAAAATTATTAGTTATATAATTCCAGTATATAAATAATACTTTTATTTATATTGGCCTATTTGATATTTACTACTTAATCTAATTTAATTCTATTAATATACAGTTACTTTTCAAAGTAGCTGCACATAGTAACAATACATTTAACAATAAAACTAATAAGCTAACAACAAATTACAATTCTATTGTATACTTTAAGTTAGTATATAACAATCTATATAATACTTCATATACTTTAAAATATAAAAAATATATAATCAAACAACCTACTAGACAAGCCATCAAAAATATCTGTAATATACATATAATTGTCATGTGGTCATTACAACATTACATGAGCAACTTTATTCTACTGTCATTACAAATTGATTGAAATGTAACATAGTTATATTTTAACAACTATATTAAATAAAAAAATAATTATATCAACTTCTTACTTAATTAAAATAAATCATTCAAGATTAAAATACTATTTAATATTCTAACAATACTAAACCATCTTTATAAACTATATCCAGACAGCTTTCAGCATAACAACTATATTATTTGCCAAATACCAGAACACCTATTGCATTAGCTATTTTGTCTTAACCTAACAAATTTTACTAGCATTATTATAAAAACAATTTTTAAAATTATTAACAATAACTTATTATTAGACATTATACAATTATAATTACAACAATTATATTATTTACTAACTTAACATAATAGCCTATTAGTTAACAATACTCATCAAGAACAAAACAACATATATACAACACTATAAGGATATGTGTCAATAGATCTAATTACTATAATTAGACTCTTTATCATATTTCATTAAACTGCAACTTTAATAACTACCAAACTGCTTACTAAAATATCACAAAAAATATATAATTGTATATAAAAACCATATGATACTAAATTAACATAATAGAAAAAAGACAACATCATATCAAATAACAGATTTACAATCTACAAAAGATCTTATAATTACTCTAATCAATATTATAACTTATATTATACAGTCTGTCAACTGTATAGTCCAGTGTTGTTAATTGGAAGGTCTAGTGATGATTACTAGAACTAGAAGATTAACTGGAATTTACTGGATGGAATTGGAAGATATAGTGGTTCCAATGTAAGTTGTTACTAGACTCTTCCAGTTAACTTTTTTTTACTACTGGATGAAAGTTTCAGTGATGTCCAGTGATATCTAGTAATTAATATTTCTAATATTTAAGACAGATACTTGTTATTTATAGGTATGTAATAAATAATTGTGACCGAAAGCCATGGGTATCCATCGATAACTATATTATTTCACAGTGTTTGATGTACAACCAAATAAAAAAGCATGGGTTGTTACATAATACCTGTTAATTGAATAAATAAGATTATTAGACATTAGCATATATACTATGCATTAACATACAAAGCTAATAAAAATCTAGTGTTAGAGAACTTATAATTAAAAAAATGATTCGATAAATTACACAAATTTCTTTTTATAATAAAACTTTATTTGATCACATATTCGCATGTTTAATTATTTAATACTATATAATTATATACTTTTAAAACGATTAAGGCCTGTGACATTGTCTTATATATTAATGTCCAGTCTTAGAACTAATTCAGCTTAAATTATACTTTGGGCAAAATTCTAAACTAATATAGTTTAGGTTTGTTCATGCTGAAATCCTAAACTTTGGCCTTGTTGAACGTCCCAAAATCGATCGATAACCTGTCAAATCTGATAAAAAATTAGCATACCAAGCCTGTTTCCATTGTATAAATCTAATAGTTCAAATCTGATAACCTCTCAATGCAATATAAAATCTGTTCACCATGCATATCTCTTATATCGCATGTAATAATTCAACTCAGAGATTATTTTTGGGGATTTGGAGTTTTGCCAGTAGTATCGCTGTGATCCTGAATCATAAAATAAAAAAATGTTCTACATACTTACCATATTCAAGACTTAAAAGCAACTGGCCTGAATCACATCATACACCAATAAATTTGCAATTTCAACCTTATAGCCTAAATTTATTAAATTCTCATGACAATCGCATCAATAATGTAATTAAAATAGAAAAATTAAATAAAAAATAAATTATTACGTAGTAGATAGAGAATATAAAGACAATGACAAGAATAATGCTTACTTTGGATAAGTTGAAAGATATGCATGTATTGAGCTTCAATGAAACTTTCAACAACATCTGCTGTTAGAATTTTCTTTTTGAATTTCAGTATATATATAATATGCACACCAAAAATTCAAAAGGAAATTAGAATTCCTTTTATAACCTTCTACACTAATGAACACTTTGATAGGAATTTTAGCAGCAATCATATGAGTGCCGCCAAGGGAAAACATACACATTTATATATAGGTTGTATTTAAATGTGTATGTATTCCCTTGGCAGCACTCACATAATTAAAATGTAACACAGTACCTCAGATCTTTATAACCGAAATTGAGATTTGATGTATGTTACTATATCCAATTCCTCTTAATTAAGAAAATTCGAATAAAGACAGTCCCATTATCTATTGTTGAGTAAGCCTGAAGATAGACTGATACGTATTAAAGTGTGCATATTTTGTCTTATTAACCCTTAAATATAGGTGCGAACCAGCTTATTATGAGTTCACTTGTGAGACATACACATTTTTTCTTATTGAGTTTCGAATAATTGTAAAAGAATATAAATAAATGTAGCTTCAAAAATCTCAGTCCATTCTTCAAATTGAAAGTTTTATCTATTACTATTTGTTTAAAAAAAACTTGTTTGTCTTTGTTAGTGTAAAATTCATTAAAATATTATACAAAATGGTGCGATGATATGCTAGTGGTCCTGAAAAACATAGATTCACTAAAGATATTATCATGCTTGGCACAAAGGCAACAAATAAACACAATACATACGGTGTATGTATAGCTTGTGATGATGCTCTTGGCCGTGAGGAAGCTCTAAAATCATCATTAACCAATAAAAAAAATACAGTTCGTAATCACTTAAAAAAATGCCCACATTTCCATGCTAAACTAGGATCTTAAGAGGCAGTAGATACATATTGCAACAAGACTGATAATAAAGAAGAACTTACTTCTCAAATTGTAAAAAGGCACCAAAACACAGACATGTCTGGTAAAAACCTTAAATTTTTTTAAAAATTAAAATATCATTATTAATTATGATAATCAATAAATTTTTTTTTTTTTTTTTAAATAATAAGATGATGATAACACAAGTGATATGACCAGTAGCAGTACAACTTCCACTATGTCTAACTGCAATAGCAAACAAAAGTCATCAACAACTTCTGTAACAAACTTCATTGTTCGAGGCATTACCACAAAGAAGAAACCAAGATTTGAAAGCTGTTACTTCGAATGACAATTTCAAATAGATGGTCTTTTTGATGGACAACATATCCAGCTACTTTAGAATTCTTTGAATTTTTAAACCCAAAACTTACTCTTCCTAGTCAGTATGCTTTATCTAATCATATTCTTAATACTGAAAAGACCACTTTGACCCAGTCCCGTGAACAAAAACTAAAAAATAATAATATCGGAGTTACTTTAGCATTTGATGAATGGAAAAATATTTTAAAACAACACATATTCAGTTTCTTATTTATCTTATCAACTGGAGAATCTTTAATTTGGAAAGCAATCGACATAAGCTCAGAGAGAGAATGTATGATTAAAATTATTTCCAAAATTGAATCTATGATTAATGAAGCATCAGATCTAGGTGCCAAATTATCTGCTATCGTTTCTGATAGTGCCCTAGCATATTCCAGTGCTAGGTAAAATTTTATAAAAAAAAATAAATAAATAAATAAATAAAAAAAATATATATAAAAAAAAAAAAAAGAATCTTTGTTTAAAGATTCTAGATCGTTTAATAATAAGCCATTAATTAACAAAAAATTGATGTTTTAAATAGACGTCGGTTAAGATTACTATATCCAAAAATCATTTTTCTACCCTGCTTCACTTATCAATGTAATCTTGCTGTAGGAGAAATCTTCAAAGAATCTAACGAATTCAAAGCCACATCCAAACAGGTCCTAAAAATAGTTCATATTTTAATCATGCCATTAATTCGTACTTCATTGGAAAACTTCGAGATATACAATTTCAAGTATATAAAACATGTATTACCCTAGTTTGCCCAGCAGATACTCATTGGAATTCTTATTCCTACTGCTTTAAAAGTTTAATAAAATCTCGCCAGGCTTTGAGAGTAAGTATTATATTTTTTTAAAAAAAATTTGTAATAAATTTTAAAATATACCTACTATAATTGTAATATAATAAGGAAATTTGATCTGCAGTTACTAATCTATATGTGATAGTTTAATTCCAAAGTTAATAAAATAATAAAATCGTTTTTTATAACATGAAGGTTCAATAATTTTTTTTTTTTTAAAGAATTTAGCTACTACACACAAATCTTCTTTGGATAGTTTAACTCAAAATTCAGATGATGAATTAGGTCAATCTTCAACCAACTTAGATAAACTTTACCTTCCATGAGATATAACATCAATTCTGCTTAATAATAATTTTTGGCACTCAGTAAAATTGTTGCACTCATTGCTTCTTCCTTATTGCGAAGTCCTTAATAAATTACAATCAGATACTGCTCACCTTCATGAAGTGCTACAATCTTTTGGTGGAATATTAAAAATGTGGGAAGAATATCCTGATGAAAATTTAGCAGATCGTATAATCTTACAGCTAGAACAAAGGTGAAAGCAATAGGAGCAACTATTATTGTTATTAGCTTTTCTTTTAAATCCAAGTATCCGTGATACTTGGTTCAAAACTAATACTGATAATTTAAACTTTACATACCTTGTCCAATTTATTACTTATTACTATAAAGCATGGTTTGAACGTCAACCAACCTGTATTCTACTTGAGTTTGAAAAATATAGAAAATATGAATACCCATTTGATCGTTCCACATATAAACAATTTAAAGGAAATGCATTGGAATTTTGGGAATTTGCCTCCCCCTCGACTAAAGAATTAGGACCTTTAGCTGCACAGCTATTTGGGATTTGTGTTAATGCAGCATCTGTAGAACAATTATGGAGTTCAATGGGATTTATCCATACTAACCGACGAAATTGTCTCCAAGTGAGTATTACTTTAAATTACTATATTCAATTACAATATTGTTTTTAATTTAATTTATTTATTTATTTTTTTTTTTTTTTACAAAATTAATTAAATTGTAGAATAAAAAAGTGTTAGTCATGTGCCAAATTCGTGCTTCAATTAACTTTACTCAATGAAAAAAACCATACAAACCTTCTAATAATTCAGCATATCAAAGTGTTGAACCTGAACAAGCTGAACAAAATGAATTAAACGATTAAGGTGAATTGGATGAAGAAAACAATTCTGGAGAAGATGCTGAAACTAATATATCGGATACAATGGCATGGGAAAGTCGATTACAAGAGTGGGAGCAAATATTAATTGATGAAGAAACTGCTATGTTAGAAGAAGAAGAAGTAGAATGTGAGAACATTGAACATATTATGAATAGTGATTTGTTAAGTAATTATACGCATCCAGCAATTGACCATAGAGCAAAGTGGGAGTTGAGCAGTCTATTTGGCCCGCTTTTTGAAAAACCAAGCTATATGAATTCTGACAGTTAGCTTTTGATATTATATTGATAATAAATTTACTTAATGCAACTCTTACAGCTTTATTTGTGAAATATTTAATAGAAAATTTACCTGAAGCTTTTAATCTTAATCGTACTATGAATACAGATTACACCCAAAATAAGTAAGGCCGTGCAAACAAATAAAATTGTTTCTCATTACCCAGCTGGGTACCTTTTTTAGTGAAGTCAACATTTTTTTCTATATAAAATTTTTTATTCTTGTATAAAAAAAAAAAATTATAAAATTTTTTTATATGAAAACTATACCATTTTTTGCTGGCTGGCCGGGTTTGTTAGCTTGTCCCATATAACGAGAAACAATTAATTTAATTTGCATGGCCTAACACGGCTCTATTTGATCGAATTTAAATTAAATTTAAATATATATATCTATTTTTTTTTTTATTATATTTCTATCACTATGTATTGGTTTATTTTAAAAAAATTAAATAAATGAACAAATTTACTATAAATATGTATCGGTAATGCTTATTCTCTGATTGGTTGATATTGATATGACATACATGATTATAGTCCCGCATTTTGATTGGTTGATATGATATTCATTCCAGTAAAAAAAATTTTAACTGGAACCACTGGAATGTTGGAAAAATCTGAATGTCCAGTGGAAGTTCTAGCTTCTAGTGAACAACACTGGTATAGTCTATCTAATCAACTTTATGCAAAAGATAATAATTGCCTATTACTAGAAAATGCATTTTGTAAAATTAACCTTTAGTCTATATACTGGATACTATATAGCTACCTTACAAATAATATCTTATATTATCAAATTTGATGAGTTTTAATCACTCTAATAGGTTTAGATTATAGATAAATTAGATAAAAATTTGTCTATTGTTTGAGCTTCATTTTTGTAATATATTTGTAATTGAAATAAGTTTATAATTTATTTCTAGAAAAGTTTCTGAAGACTTCTTTAATAAATTAATAAAGATATAAGCAAAATCCTATTTTTTTAAAAAAAAATAATAATTTTTTTTTTTTTTTTTGAATTTTGGCGACAATGCCAGTTGGTTTTTATTAGCCTTAATTTGATATAGTACAAATTTATGGTT